CACTCATTGTGAAATTAGGGAATATTTTTGATATTGTCAGATTAATGCCAAAATCGTGAATGAGTAACTCAAAAGGAATGGCTTTGAATGTTAAACTCGTAATGATGACATGGCAGGGATATTCATGTGTTTTTTGTTCATTTTGTATTGCCTCAATTCACCAGACAATGTTGATTTTCACACTTCAGTCTCATTGCATTATAGAGCAGACAATATTGTCTCAGTTGTGGTACATCACAGATGATTTTACTCTTCTAATTGACAGTTTAGTAATGTGAACTCAACATTTTGTAAATGAACAGCACACGAAGGCTCAAGTTTTCCTTATGTTTAATTCATTTTGAGGATGCAGATTTGACAAGCTTCAGTCATGCAATTTGTGGCCTCAGGTTGGTCATGTCACTTGTATTTAGACTATAAGTGAATCCTGCATCCCCAAAAGCAGGTATAAGGATAACAAAGGGGGAATTCACAAAGAAGATGTCCTCAAACTGACTAATTGATGCCATAACTGCTGCCCTGCCTGTGCGTGTACCCAAACATGCACATAAACACACACATCACACCTCATCTCTTTCATTTTAATCTTATCCTACCCCACCCTCAGACGAGGGTCTTGTTACCAGGGTCAATTTGGGACTTTCCTCTTTCCACTGAAGTGTGGAACTGGCAACGGAAAGTCAAACTTAATGTTTAAAGTCCCTAAAACACCCTGACACTACACAAACATGCTCTGCAGCTGTCAAAGCACTCAACCATTATGGTATCTAACTGCAAAAGGTATTATTTATGAAAACAAAGGCCCGCCTCTTTAACGGCCATGCAGTGTTCACCCTGAACACACACTATCAGAACGTATTGCTTAATGAATGATACATTGGCTGGGCTTAATGCTCTGCAAGCACACACCCATAGAAAGAGAAAATACATTTATCTTTATTATTTAGGGGTTCAGTTTGCTGAGACTCAGCAGCAGGATGAATGCAGAGAGGAGTCCTTAGTGCCACCTACCATGAGATAACATGAGGCCCCCTTGTGGCTGGAGAGCAGAGGTGCAACTAGGCCTGAAACTCAGCATTTAGAAATCAACCTACATTTGAACGGTTTAGAATATCTACCAAGATCTTCTGTTAACCCTTAGATGCACGAGTGACTGGACCCTACACTCTTCCATAAGTGGGTCTAAAAGGACCTGTGTTAGAATAATGTGTTTTTATGCAATATTTGTCATTTTGGTTAAGAAAAATCACATATTTTGTATTATATTTTAGTTCACATTAGAAATATTTTATATTTCATTTTTCACAATCGATAATTAAAAAAAAAAAAAATGTAATTTAGAAAAAAAATGTTTTGAACATATTGATGCAAAGATCTCCGCTATTCTGAGACCCTCAAAGTATTCCAGTCCCTTTTCAAAACTCATGTCTTCTCCTCTTGTCTATAGCCTCCCCCCCCCATCAATATCAATCCATGCCGGTTGATCAAGTTTAGTCCTATACCCCCCACCCTAACCTTCCCTTATATTGTAAAGCGATTTTGAGTCCTTGAAAAGCCCTATACAAATATAATGTATCATTATTATTATTATTACTATACTGACAGGTATCAGATCTTGCTGTGTAAAATAATCTTCCTGAGAGGTGTCACTTGTGATGTAGTCTGTGTGGTCTACAGTGAATGTATTCCTGACAGCAACAGATGATAAGAATCAAAGGTTCCCATATAGGATTCCATAGAAAATGCATGCGGGTCATTTTTGACCCACTTGGAAGCTTGGGGTAGGTAGTAATACAAAAACTACAATTTCTTAAAATGTATAACATTTAAATTTAAAATTTGAATGGCATGATATCCAAATCATGTTTTTTGAGGAATAGCTGGAATATGAAATGATAAAAAAATGTAATTACAAAGATACTCAAGAAAACCAGCTCATGTGTGTGTGTGTGTGTGGTATGGTCTACGTCTACGATGTGCAGCCACAGCGCAGCTTGCATGGATGAATCATGGGCTGTATACATATATTGTTAAAACTAATTAGATTTTGTTCCATTAATCATTGGAAGTTATATTGAAGTGACTGTTATTTTGTTATTGTGTATATATTGATTGTTGTGTTTTATCTTAATGTGTGCATATGTGCAAATGTGTCTGTTGAGTGTATATATATAGGATATACATATTTGTATTGTTGTATTTTTGTATTCGGGATTGTTGGAAACGTTATTTCGATCTTTCTGTCTGTACATACAAACTAAAAGATTAACATTAAAGTTGACTTTGAGTTTGACTTTGATTCCGTGCCTGTGTGCATGAGCATAAGGGCTCAATTTCAAGAAAGTCACTTTAATAAGGAGCGAGTAAAAACTTTATTTGCTACAAATAAAGCTGAACTTGATATATAAAAGCATGTTTTAAATGCAAATATGTACTGATTCCCCTTATTTCAAATAGCATAACATCTGTACTATCAATAAGACTGACAACATCTGCTTTAACATCCACTAGAGGGAGACACTCACTCAGTTTAGTTCTTCCATGACATCATTGGTGAGTTTAACATTCAAAGCCTTTCGGTTTGAGTTACCATTCACTATTTCTGAATTGATCCGACACAAGCACATCAAAATATTACACACTATCTACAACACACTTATATTGGCTCTCGAAAACAAATTTGCAAGAAGAAATCAATTGCTTTCAACTCTCAGTTTAGTGTTATCAATGAAATCAGTTTATTTTACACATTTACATGTCTGTTTCCATCTTAATGTGCCTTAACTAAAGAGCAGGCATATATATTAATATGCCTTTAAAATATACGAATAAAAATATAATGACTCAACCGAATCCCACCGNTTCAAGAAAACCACCTCACCGGGTCCAAAGAGACCCACATCCAAGGGTTGAGTCATTATATTTATAGTATTTTTAAAGCATATTAATATATATGCTCTTTAGTTAAGGCACATTAAGATGGAAACAGACATGTAAATGTGTAAAATAAACTGATTTCATTGATAACACTAAACTGAGAGTTGAAAGCAATTGATTTCTTCTTGCAAATTTGTTTTCGAGAGCCAATATAAGTGTGTTGTAGATAGTGTGTAATATTTTGATGTGCTTGTGTCGGATCAATTCAGAAATAGTGAATGGTAACTCAAACCGAAAGGCTTTGAATGTTAAACTCGCAATGATGTCATGGAAGAACTAAACTGAGTGAGTGTCTCCCTCTAGTGGATGTTAAAGCAGATGTTGTCAGTCTTATTGATAGTACAGATGTTATGCTATTTGAAATAAGGGGAATCAGTACATATTTGCATTTAAAACATGCTTTTATATATCAAGTTCAGCTTTATTTGTAGCAAATAAAGTTTTTACTCGCTCCTTATTAAAGTGACTTTCTTGAAATTGAGCCCTTATGCTCATGCACACAGGCACGGAATCAAAGTCAAACTCAAAGTCAACTTTAATGTTAATCTTTTAGTTTGTATGTACAGACAGAAAGATCGAAATAACGTTTCCAACAATCCCGAATACAAAAATACAACAATACAAATATGTATATCCTATATATATACACTCAACAGACACATTTGCACATATGCACACATTAAGATAAAACACAACAATCAATATATACACAATAACAAAATAACAGTCACTTCAATATAACTTCCAATGATTAATGGAACAAAATCTAATTAGTTTTAACAATATATGTATACAGCCCATGATTCATCCATGCAAGCTGCGCTGTGGCTGCACATCGTAGACGTAGACCATACAAACGGAATAGAGACACAGCTGTCCCTAATGTTTTAATTTGATTTGTGATGTCATGTTTTTGGAGTACTTGAGCTGCACCCCGTGTATGAAAAGTGCTATAGAAATAAAGCTTTATTATTGTTAAAGCTTGCCTCAGCAGGCTAACAGCTAATATGTTCACATTGTTACCATTGTAATGCAGTTTGGTAATTTAGCAAGATAACTAATTCAGTAAAATGTCTCATGTGTAAATCAACTGTTTAGATCATTTGTGAATTGTTTTACTTTTTTTGCCGAACAACGACCACATTTCCTCATTAGGGCTTTTTAAATGTGACAGTTTTCTTCTATTTTGTGTTTTCTATCATTGCGATTGGGATATGTTTGGGTATTGTTTATTTATTAGAATTCTAACATTTACAGACAGGCACCAAACACAAAGCAGGCTACAGTCAAGACTGATGGGAATATCAGAGGTTTTTTAGGGAGATGACCAAAAACAACACATTTTGTAAAAGTTAACATTTCGGCCTGATGGTGGCGATAAAGGAAGAGTAGTGGCTTTAAACAATAACAACTCATTCTGAAGGGGAAACATTACATTACATGTTAGACGCTTTTATCCAAAGCAACTTACATACTCAATACTGTGGGCAATCCCCACGACATACAGACTGCAGTGGGACTCCAACTCTGATTCGAAGATCAGCGCATTAACCCACTGCGCCACACACCTCCCTGTTAAATTGAATGGCATCCAAAACCATAGCAAAGTTATTAGGGTTCTTCCTCTTGGGAAGTCCATGCATAATTACACAGAAATGAATCGAATGGTTTTTGAAATATTTGTGTTTAAACCAAAGTAGTCAATGTACTGATAAACCACTTCTGCAGAAAGTATATGGTGACATGCCAAATAAATCCTTCAAATCACACAGTACACATCGTTCCCTGCCAGTTGTCAGGTGAAGAGGATTCTTCTTATAACACAACTGTTGTTGTTGACCTTTAAGTTTGACCTTTGCTTTGATTGCAGACATCCTGTCGGTTAGTGAGAAGGCTACCTGTCTGGATACTAAGTTTAACTCAGGTCTTGCACACTGCTTTCATGTTGAATTTTGAGGTCACTCCTCTCGGTCTTCACCACTCCCATCTCTCTCTCTTGCTCTCTCTTGTTGCTTTCCTGCTCAAGCAATAGAGCAAAGAAAGTAAACCTGTTTGGCTGGCTGCAACCAGGAAACCATTCAAAGGGTGCACCAAGAACAGAAAGAGCGAGAACGAAAAAGAGGGGGGGTGACAGAAGAAAGGAAGAGAGACAAAGAAGAAGCAGCAAAGTTTCAGCCAATGACAGAGGACATGTTTTCCACTGTGTTGTGAGTAGATGTGTCTGTTCGGTTGACCCTGACATTGTGGGAGTGCTCTGCCTCTGAGATGTGAGCATGAATATTGGTAAGTGTGCTATAGAGTGGGTGAGGAAGGCTGAAAGTGAGAGGGTGGAGAGAGAGTCAGGATGGTAGTTGTTGGTAGAACGGTTGAGTATCAGTGTCACTCCCTTTCTTTGTAGTCACTTCACTTCTTTATGCTTGGTGTCTTTTGTTGAACTGTTCTGAAAAACCTTTAAAAAGCAGCCTCTATATAACAGGACTTGTATTTTCTTGTGTTTTTCTGAAGATCTGACACAGGAGAAAGAGTCTAAAAATGGGCTATTTCTGGAGGAAATGCTAAGATTGAAGTGCATTTTTAGAGATGCTGTAATTGTGCGGGCTAGCCATCGTTGGGTCATGTAATGCTATTGGATTATTTTATGGATCAAAGATGGATGCTGTTTGAAGAGGCTAAGATGTCTGCTTATACAAAGAAGCTGGGACCTCACACAAATCACCGTAAGGACATTAAATACCAGCAGAGACACTCAAACACTTGAGTCTGGATGATAACTGCTCCTATTTTTGCTCTTAAACACATTCAATAGAGAACAGGAAGACCATTATTATTTATCATCACGCCTCCTTACAGACAGACTGACATTTAAGATTGATTCACATCACTTCACAACAGAGGAAAGATGGCGGCAGCAGGTTCTGGAGCTTCCCTGAGCCCCAAATCTAGCTCCCAGACTCCTACCAGTGGAGACAGGCGAATGCTGGACAAGACCCTAAAAAGACTTCATAAACTGGGCGAACTGTGCACTAACCCCCGGCTGGGCCTGAGGAACAGTCCACCATACCTGCCAGAGCTGGTCTCTGAGACAAGAACACTGCTGACTCAGGTCTGGGAGCCCTACATAGGCCCCAGGGGGCAGGGGGGCCAGGCACCCCGAGGGGACGAGGCCAAATACCTGAGGGTCCATATCCGAAACCTGCTGGATAAGACGGACCGGGCGCTGCTGCTGTTCAAAGAGGGACGGGACAAGATGTTCGAGGACACGTCCAGCTGCAGGTAAGAGGGCCGACATCCACACACAAGAGAGAAAGTGTTATTTTACCTGAAATGAAATACATAAAAAAAAAAAAGGGTTTTATGAATCCTTTTATTCAAATGCTTAATTTATTCATTCATTACTTTGTCCTTTGTTCTCTGTCTTTTTTAATATAGATTCAAATAAGTCAATCAATCAATCACTGTATGAGAGGCAGTCACATGTTTTATCCTCTTGGTGTACAAATCAAAGAAAAAGCTGCTTGATAGAACAATAATCAGCTAGTTTTTTGACAATTACTTAATAATTTCAGTCATTTATTTTATAGAAAATGGCAACAGGTGGTGCTTCTAGTTTCTTAAATGCTATAATTGGCTTTTCTTTCTGTGTTCTGTTTAATTGTCAATTGAATATCTTTGATTTTTGGTCTCTTGGTCATAAGAAACAAGACACCTAAAAACATAATCTAGGGCTCCCAGGACTTGTGATGACCAGCTGGACACTTCATTATTTATTTATTTTTATTTGAAAAGGGACAATGCACATTATAAGACATTGCTTTAAATGCGCTAGAGTTAACCAAGAGGCCGTATACTAAATGACAACTTTATTAATCTAACAAAATACCTCCATATTCAAATAAACATATATTGATATCGAAAAATATATCGAAACTTGAATATCATTTGTATTATTTTTGTATCTCAAGGTTCAGTCAGGCAAATGAAAATGGCAACAAATTGGACGCCACATTATGTACTACAAAATACATTTTGGATAAAACCAGCGATCATAGCATTCATATATGATTTAAAAATATTAAACACAAGCAGTGTCCCTGCAAATCAAGGAATGTATTGCTCTCTCTCCATTATCCAGAGTAACAAGGAAACTTTTCTTTTGAATTAAAACATTTCACTGAGCACGGCCAATTACCATTCGAGGTAACCCGCCATTTAAGGACGGCCTCGTGTAGTGGTCGCCATTCCCTCCCCCCCCCTAATTTAATCATGTTCTCAAACTGAAAAAAACCCATCTTTTTTTAGATGTATTCCTCTCTAACCAGATCTTGATGTAAGATTTAACACAAATAAACTGACTCTGGGGTCAAAAATAGTTCGTACATCCATCAAATCCTTATCGGGGATCATGGGACCAGGGCTTTGGCTCTTTGTGCTCGTGGTCTTTAAAAAGTATGAAAATCCATAAATAGTCTTCTGTATTTGCTCGACTAAAGGAGTCATAAATGAATACTTGACAGCTACGATAGAGGCTATGACCCGTCCTTATATACTAAATCAAACAAACTCGTATGGCCGCTTTACACCATCGCTACAATATATAGTTTAATAAAATAACTCCCCCGTTCCCACATGTAAAATATAGACTTTGTGGTGTGCCAAAAGAGAGAAATAATACCACTTTCAGTACATTTGCGGTTTGGCCAAATTGGATATTTTGGAACAGCTTCAAAAGAGTGACTTCTTTATTTAAGGTTTGTGTTGCATCTGCTGCTCCTGTTGAGACTACTAATAACGGCAGCAGAAAAAGAGCCAAACCTGAATCTTTGTGATGCTAATGTACGGAAACTTGGCAATAGCAACATCAGTTTGTGAGCAGTTTGGGAGAAAGGCAGCCGGGCCTAAACACACTTTTCTATTTGTTTCCATTCAGTAACACATCTATCCTCTGCTACTGTTACTGCTAAATATAGGACCTCTCTTTTCTACTTTTTACTCAGATAAAGACATGCTGAGCTATCCATCTATCTATCTTTATTTATATTGCGTCATTGTGCACTCACAAGACAGGAGATGGCTTATTACCACAGCAAGGTCTGCATGAGCAGTCATGTGACAAATTCACATTGTGTGATGTGCAGTGTGGCTTTTGAATTACGGCAAATTGAGTCAATATATTCTTTTATCTTTTTTTAAAGCAACCCACTTTTCAGCATGTCATGCCACAGACTCAGGCAGTATGTTAAGGTTAGAACAGAACTGAGATCAGCCTGATGGAGGAGGCCACAGAAACAGACAGTTGAAGGGTTGAGCGGCTGGTGGATTATTGTGCGTGACACACTGATGGTTTTGACATCATCTGACTGGAATTTATAAAACACATGCAAATATGCCAATTCTGTTCAACATATAGCTTAAACTTGAATCAAAAACAACACAAATATGTATCAGTATATTAATGAATAAACCAGTTTTTTAACTATGAATGATACAATGTGTATACTTACACAAATACACATTGATTAAACCGGCTATGCCCCTTAATATTTGGGTACTTTTTACACAAACAAATATTTCATTAGGATTGAATATCTTACTCATCGTGGTTAGGGTGTGGTTTTTAACATGTCATTTCCATTGATAGAATATAATCACTGATTAAAATTCTGGATATATATTAGGTTGCAGGATTTGTTTTGAATTACAAAATGTGAGCATGAATTTGAGGGTCACTCAGACACAGCTTTGTGTTCTTGGTCTTGAAGTTTTGAATACATTTTTCTCATCATGTGCAAGTCTGAAAATAGATAAATAGGCCATAACCGATGTGTGAATGTTTTACACAACTATTTTTATTTAGCTTGAGATTCTTCTGTAAAGACTTCCATCGGCTGCAGAGAGCTCGACGTAAACGCGCCTCAAAGATCTTTGAAAGTTATTCTCTCTTTCTGTATAAGATTTGAAAGATCGGAAGCTTAAAAACGCATTTAACATTGAGCTTCGCAGGTGATCAAGCGATATTTCAAATATTAAAATAGAGAAACGATTACAGCACAGAAAACCAACCCATCCGAGAATCAAGCTATAGAGCGTCGACATTGCTTCACAACATATTTTACTCTTTAATCTAAAAATAACACGTGCACTGGAGTGTTTGCAGTACATTTAGCGACCATCTTTTTTTCATGACATTTATACGAGGGGCCAGACTGACCGAGAGACGTGACTAATAACACATTTCCTCCCGCGCTTCTCCGCTTCTCCTCAACACCTTATACGTTTTTCTCATCGAGTTGAAATGTTTTTAACCACCATCCTCTTAAGAGAATGTCCATTTTATAATTACTGGCTGCCTGGACACATCTGCAGAAAATATTTCCAAAGAAACATTCAAAAATAATTACGAAAGTGCAGATGAAAATGAGAAGTTGGGGTCAAATTCAATGGATGGGATTTACTTGCATTGTAATATACTGAATTCAGGTATTAGAATATATTTCCTATATTGTACAATTTTAACTGCATTTTCATTCGAAAAGTAAAATAAATATAGTGGAGTCTGTTAATCCTCTCCTGAAACACGCATTCGGGTCTTACGTAAAACATGTTCGGAAAAAGATCTTTCAAGATACTTCAAAGACAACTGATATATTTTTAACTCTTTATGTTTTATATAATAAAAAAAGTGTTAAAGATGGAAGTAAGCTGTTGCATACAATGTCAATTAAATGTAGCATTTACATAATTTGATTCAGTTTTTTATGAGAGACTGCACCAAGCGACATATTTGTAGACAGATGTGTGTTTAAAAAAAAAGAAACTGTCAACAAATATTTAGTAAATTACCCTCAAAGTGTCTTGAAAGAGGGTACAGTACATTCTTATACAGAGGTGACACTTTGGCCACTGGAACATTCTGTGGTATTTACAGACAAGCAAGCTGCAGAGCATCCTGTTTGCTAGCTGGACTACCTGGTGTGCGTTTATCTGCGGAAAGTATCAGCAGTGTTTGATTTAACTCAAAAGAAGCAGTACAGTATCCAGTGTTTAACAATTAGAGCTATGTCCCCCTGAAAAATGCTGGTGTTAGAATTTATTTTATGTTATTTCTTTACATTTATACACCATTTATATATAGCCAGTGTTTACCTCAGTTGCTATAGCAAAGCAAGCCTGCCTGGCCTGACACCTTTAACTTTACACACCTACACTGGAGACAAATGCACAGAAACTAACCTTTAAGGTAGTGACACTTTATTAAAAAGTTTCTGCAGATATGTCCTTATTCTGAATCTTAATCCTAGTGCCTTTGACACTTTTAGATACAAGAATATTCAAAGAAAGTGTGTGAGTTAAGGGTTATAAGTTTGAGGAGACGCAGTTATTGCCTCACAAGATGGTTTTACATGTTTGTATAAGAGAGCAGGAGAAAAAGGAAATGTGATGTCCAAGCAAAGCCTATTTCTATATCTGACTACACAACTGAAAGTCTGTTTGGTTTTTCTTTCTCAGGAGGAACTTGACCAAACTGTCCTTGCTGTTCAGTCACATGCTCTGGGAGCTGAGGGCCATGTTTCCAGGGGGCAGTTATCAGGGTGACACCTACAGTGTGACTAAGCCAGAGGCAAAGGAGTTTTGGATGCGCTCATTCGGAAACAAGTGAGTTTTGGGAATGTTCCTAACAAGAGAACTTTTATTGTATTTTCATTGTGTTTTGATTTGTTGCTACATGTTAACAATGTGTTCTGACAGGTGTTTTGTGCAGTGGAATAGCTTCAAAGAGCAGCTGCAGAGTGTGCATGCGTTTGAGGAAGGGATGGAGTCCATGGCTCTGAAATCAACTATAGATCTCACCTGTAATGATTACATCTCTGTGTTTGAGTTCGACATCTTCACCAGACTGTTTCAGGTAAGGTGAATTTTCCAAAAGTCGTAAACTGATAGATTAAAGAGGCCCTATTATCTTGTTGGGGTTTACCCTTTCCTGCAGTGTGTTATATAGGTTTTAGTGCATGTAAATGGTGTGCAAAGGCTAAAATTCCTCTGAGTTTCCTCTCCCACACACTCTGCCCCCCCTGTTGACCAATCACAACAGAGCCGGCCAGCTAACCAATCACAGTGTGACAGAGTGTGAAAAACATGTCACAGTAGAGGCACAAAATACACATATGAACCTGAAATGATAATAATATTCCCTCTTTAAAAGGAATAGTTAGAGATTTTGCTTAATACGCTCAGTAGGTTTCTTTCAAAGAGTGAGATAATAAGATGGATACCTTTCGTATATTTATACTTTGAAGCTATAGCTGGTTAGCTTAGCTTAGCATAAAGAATGGAAGGAGGGGGAAACTACTCTGTCCAAAGGGATATCGACAATCGATTGGTATCCTCTCCTCTAGAGCAACTCTTACCAAGACAGCGATAAAGCATATTTTACCAAAGTGTTTACTACTTCTTTAAACATGAATCATAATGAACATCCTACGTCTGCTCTCATTTTTAGCCGTGGAGGTCACTCATAAGGAACTGGAACCAGCTAGCAGTGACTCACCCCGGCTACATGGCCTTCCTCACCTATGACCAGGTTATAGCTCGTCTGGAACACTACCTGCACAGACCTGGGAGGTGAGGACTAGCACAGCAACACACTCTGACTGATGCACTTCCTACAGGACCTATATTATATCACACATATCTCAAAACTCTAAATACTACTGAGGATTCATCTCAGTTTTTAGTAATAAGGTCCAAAGCTACATTGAACCAAAGCACTCTATATTTAAGTTTTTGGAAAGAATGTTTATTCATTATTTGTTGAATGTATGTATTTTATTTTCTTCTTCAGTTTTTACCAGATGTTTTTCAGCATAACCAACTAAAACTGTCCAGCTT